TATAAAGATAATAATTAAGTATTCTATTAGAATTTAATGATTATACTAATTATATTTTAGATTTTTTATATTTAAAATGAGATGTTTATCCTGTATTTAATTGTGTTTATCTGCAGTTAGTTACACGAATTCAAATATGGGATGAAATCGGATAGGGATGAAATCGTTTAGGGATGAACGTGTTTAAGAGTTTTTAAGAGTTTTAGCCAAATACTTTATAAGATAGTATAGATATTATACAATATCTTCAGCAATTAATTTACAACATCAGACATTGGACCCCTAGTGAAATATCATCCAAAACCAAAACAAAGAGAAATGGGCTTGGTATCGATCCCTGATGTAGCCTTGTCTTACTCGAAAATACGTATTTCATCTCACCCACTAGTGTCTTGACACATGCATGTCAATGTTTACTCGTACATACTTTCAAGTGCCAATCATTTTTATTGAACTTTCTTTCAATCTAGCTCTTGGCAGGACTCATACACACTTGAAATTGTTGGACTTTCACGAACTTGTTGAAAACGGAATCATGTATTTCCCAGACATATATTCACTCCTCCAGCCTCCTCCAGATCACGTCCTAGGATATGCTATATATCATAGGTCTTCGATCTTCGGGTCTATGAACATCATGTGCATCTACGTTCTCTATATTTCTCTATAAGGCGTCTAATGAGATGCATCGTCTCAAAATAAAAATCACACATTCTCACTTTAATTACCCTACATTTGCTAAGTCTCGTTAAATTCGACATTTAATTATTTTAATTTTCTTTACTTCCATGGAAGTAACTTTTACCAACCGAAGGTCGTTGTCGCCCTAGATTTTTCCAGCATAAAAATTTATTTTACCGACAACTTTGTTTTGTCGATCGATATCTCTTGATAGAGTCCCTTAGTTTGCTTATAATTCCGGCGATTTTGCTCGATTAGGTTGAAGTGTTAAAACTAATATTAATTTTGTTCCAATTGGGATCAAGTGACAGAATAGTGATTGCAAATGATTAATGACAATAATGTATCAAGATTTGTTAATTAGAGACATACAATAATACTCGACAATAAGCGGTCACCTGAAACACTTGAAACAATTCAATTAATCTCTTGGATTCGAATCCATTGAAGTACCTGCTTCATGAGGAGCAGTCTCTCTCTCTCTCTCTCTCTCTCACACACACACACACTTTCACAGCTTAATAGAAAAGACATGCTTCCTTAAGTCAGGTGTCCAGTGTTCTATTCTAGCTAGTGTGTGGCACTATCTTTTGTTTCTTTTGGCCATGGAATATGTTCTTTATTATATGTCCATAATTAATCTTTAACTATTTATTTGCACGACATAAATGAACAACTTATGTCTAGACAAGACAACACAGATCCCCATATAATATATATATATATATACACACACATACATGCATGCATACATGTGCATATGGATACAAGGGCAATGATCTCTTATGCATTGATTGATTGAACTGGCCTACTATATATAAAGCCTATAGTATTTGTTCACTGATTTATCTATATATGACCAAGTTAAAGATTAAGGGAAATGTCGTGGATCCTTCGTGTTCAACAGTTCTCTTTCGGAACCCAATCTAAAGAGTAGGAAAGGACTATAATTAACACATCCCTGTGCTTATAATTGCAAATGGGTGTACTTGAACCTGATCTTTCGCAAGGCAAGAGTGCAATGTATTAGCATAAGGACTTGAGGAAGAGAGGTACCTGAAATTAATGAAATGCAGTCCGGTATGGTATACGTATCAGCGTACCATTTTCTTTGCTGTCCATTATATTTTCATTATTGGTTTCCTTAACTTTATACATATAGGGTGGAATAATGAGATTAAAAGGTGTTATAACCTTAATTTTCATATATGATATATCCATTAGTTTACTATTTTAACTTCTAGTTGTTATTTTGTAACTTAGAGTTTTAAATTTTGGATACATCATTAGAAAGTTTGGGCTGTGAATCATCTAGCTCCTAGTTTCACTACAATATGAATCTTTGCTTCCACACATTTACCAACATTAGAGTTCAACTCATTCAGATTTACCCTATTATCACTCATGTATTTGGGTTTAGAAACACAGTCCCGTGGGGTGGTCTTGTTCTTCACCTTTGTTTCACTTCACCTCAGATCAATGAAGATGTAGGTAATTAGTGAGGAGTCTTGGTTCCATTTCAAGATCAGCAACTAATTTCAGAAGAAGAAAGTGTGCTGCTAGCTAGGTTCTATCAAAAAATTCTCAAATAAGTTGATTTATATCATGGGATGTATATCAAAACATTGTTGATTGATATATATAGATAATAGAAATAATCGAAATGTACATGCATGCATCTAGAATTCTTTCCCATATACCCACATGTACACATATCTATATATCATGTGTGTGTGTATGTAAGTATGCATAAGGAGATTAATGAACTAGTTATATATATCGTAATTAAGATCCAATAGTTAATAATCAAACTACTACAGGCCGGAATGTGAGGGCTGCTTAATTTGTAGTGGCTCTTTTGTTCCTTAAGGAGTTGAAATGGAATCTTATAGAGGAAAGGAGTATTAATTAGATTTAAAATTAAGGAAAAACAGAAGGGAGGGTGGGGTTGGGTGTGGGGTGAAAGTTCAAAAAGATTTTTGTTTTCTTTCATGGAAATTAAATAATACTAACTGTCGACCATTAAGGGAACCGTCTGTGGTTAAAATATTCATTACAATATGATCCACCCTTCACCCTCTTGTATTTATAATCATGGTTTGCATCAAGATCAAAACAAGCCCAATTATATATCTCATCATCATCATCATCAAAATACTTGATCAAGAAAGTTTTCTTGGAAATCAAATCCTAAAAATCAAATTAAGATGACAGGATCAGGTTCTCCCTGTGGGGCTTGCAAGTTCTTGAGAAGGAAATGTGTTAGGGGTTGTGTTTTTTCCCCTTATTTTTGCCATGAACAAGGAGCTGCTCATTTTGCAGCCATTCACAGGGTATTTGGTGCGAGCAATGTCTCTAAACTCCTTGCTCACCTCCCTGTCAATGGTCGTTGCGAAGCAGCCATTACCATAGCCTATGAAGCTCAAGCCAGGATTCAGGATCCCATTTACGGCTGCGTTTCACATATATTCGCGCTCCAACAACAGGTCCTTATTTTATATATATAACCCTCTTTCATTTCCCTACATATACTCTCACAATCTGCCTCTAAATACATTAAAATGATATATAACCCTAAGTTTAACTATACATATGGCTCTGCATTCTAATTGTTTTTTATTTAATTTGTTTAATGTACAGGTGGTTAGTTTACAATCCCAACTAGCTTCTTTAAGGGAGCAGGCAGCTCAAAGTTTAATCAATGGCTCCAGCTGTTCAAACTATGTTGCCAATGATCATAGACCTAATGGGAGACTTCCATCTTACACACCTCCACAAGACATCCAGAGTTGGCTTCAAGAATCAGAAAGTTCATGCAGGAATGTGCCCCAATATGATCAAAACTCAAGCACCAACAACAATGTGGGGAATATGAATGAAATCATGAATTTCAACTCCATAAAAGAAAACAACCAGAATTCACTTCTCAAAGAAGAAGATGGGTCCTTTTCCAGCTTCCAAGAAGGTTCCAGTTACTCCATTGAATCTTTGGACATGCAAATGAGCTACAACAAGGAATGGGCTTTCCAAGAGAATAGTGAAGACCTTCATTCAATTGCTTTTGGCTATATTCACCATTAGTGATCACAAAAGAAAATCAAGATCAGCTTGGGATCCGATCCACCTTCATCAGCTAGAAAATAATTATATATATATATATATGTAGTTTATAATGTTACTCTGTCAATTTTGGTATTCCTATAAAAATATTCCCCCACCTCTATCTGATAGACATGCCATTTTGCTACCTAGCTATTATAAAATAAGGTTAAACTAGGCTACCTAGAAAACCCTAGAAATGTTCATAAGTTTGGAAACCCTAAGCTACCATATGATTGTTCTACTTCTTAGATCTTGTGTAACTTTGGATATGATCCGTTAATTAATATTCGTTTATGTAGTCTTGATCAGAAGAAAAATCTGATTTTTGTTTGTGAGCTAGCTATATATGTTTCTGTGACCTAGCTATTAATTGGCTTATATATAGCTTATAATAATTACCCATGATCATCATGTAGTTAGTAATCATTAATTCCCTTCTTTATGATCAAACCAGGTTTTGTTGCTTATGAGTTGGTCCAAGAGATGAAAAGATTCATTTTTTTTCCATTTTCAGTTCTTAAGTTCTTCCCTTGAAAGCTGGAGCTTGCTACCTAGCAATAGGTATGGATAGAATTGTGACTGTGTCTTCAAGTTTTAACTGCTCTGCCTCTTTGGTTAACCATATTTTAGTCTCTGTGTGTGTGTGTGTCTATATATTTAGTATATGCTAAGTTGATCACTGATGATATCTAGCTTGAATTTGTTTGATTTTTCTTTCATTTTCGAGTATCTGCAGTCATTGCTGATGGTCTGGATCTGCAAAGTTGATATGTATATATCCTAAGTACTGACACAAGATCTCTACTTCTACCTCAAGGTGAAAAGTTTGAAACGGGTGTGAGTTCTCTTGTTACTTTCTTCCCATAATTAACTTGATTAGGGATTAAAAGAAGTAAATGCCATAAATCAGTTTAATATTTATACTCCTGAGTTAGCAGGTTTCTATATATATATATCACATCATCGAGCTGTTCAAAACAATTTGAGGGGAATATATATATATATATATATATATATATATATATATATATATATATATATATATTGAATATGTGTTCTTCAGTGTTTGAGAAACAAACTGTTTTGATAATTAATGATTATGTAGCTTTATTGTTTAATTACATATAATTTTGAGTTGGGTATGGGTGTTGATTCAGGCCTTGGTTAAAGTTCCCATATTGGTTTAGTCTGTGAATCTTGGCTGTTATGGGCTACCTTAAAAAGAAGTTCAATTGCATGGTCTGCAAACACTTCCAGGAAAGCAAAAGAAACACACTGCACATATGTTGGATATGCATTCCAAGCTATATAAATGAATTTTATATGATACTATCAGATGGTTACTTGTGTTATGTGTGAATAAGTCCCTTAGGGTTTTGCAAATTGTTACTTGAAGATGGTGTATATAGTTATATAATTAGTTTTAAGTCTTTGAGTTTGTGTGTCTGAAGTTCCCTGATCTCACATTGATCACACGTACAGCACAAAGACAAACATGCATATCTATATCTATATATATATATATATACACACACACACACTGTGCATACACACCTATTGCTAACTCACTAGTCATCAGAGAGTTACCTATCTTCTTGTAAAGCAAGGGGTTGTGTGTGTGTTTGATACCACCCAATATTATTATCAATTCCTAGCTGTTGAGGCCTTGAGAGCCACACCAATCTCCCATATGAGAGAGAGAGAGAGAGAGAGAGCTTTGCCTAGTTCAAGTTTATGGTTGTGGACTTGGTGTACCTTTTATCATAGTTACCAATGTACACATACACATATATCAAAGCATTGTTCATTAACTTCTTAACTCCATGGAAACTAATTTGACAAAATGAAGTAATTAAGCTCTCTTTGGTGTTTCTTTTTTCAAATAGGCAAAGAGCAAAAGGAGGGTGTAGTCTTTTGGGCATGAACCTGCACCAAGCTAAATGCTTGATGGAGAACACTAGATCTGTTGATGATCACTTGATCATCTGGTGTAGTCTTTTGCCATGAATCTATCTATTTACATCATTCATATATAATCCACTTAATTCACCAGATCTGATGAAAAGCTTTTGAGTTTCAATCTGAATGGTTCTTGAATTTGATCTGCATCAAGATATATTTGGACATGTACAGCTAGCTTAATTTATTTCTGTCTTCTTTAAGTTTAGCTTTTGGACAGGAGCTTTGGTATGTATTAGTTACACTGTTACAAATCTTCACATATATAAACCACAATCAAGCTGGATTCTCATTGATCAATATTCCAATCTACTGAGCATCTTGTCAAGACTTTGTTACAAGTTCACTCTAGGGCTTTAAGGGGAAAGTTTTAACCTAGCTGTAAATGTGGAGTGCCAATATTTATCCTCCAAGAAAGAAAAGAGGTTTCATCTTATATAGAGGAAAAATGTTTCTAGTGTGAGACCGGTGTGGAGTTGGCTCGTTTCAGACTTACTAGCTCACTAGGGTTACAACGATTTTCTTAAAATCGACCCATTTTAAGTAAAGTGATCTAATTGCCGCCTCTAATATTTTACTATGTTTTAATTTGATCAATGAACTTTATTTTCATATTTTTCACAAATTTATTTTTTTATGTTATTGTATCGGTATAACTCCTATCACTCATATGTGTTTAGGGCAAAAGGATAAACCAATATGTTGTTAGCTTATCAATTCCAACACTTTAAAGCAAACATAATAACATGAATAGTCCAACATAATTTTGTAGTGGTTCATTCGGTATAGAAAAATAAGTCGTCATGGCTCTTATAATATTAACAATATTGCAAGTACTCACTTGTACCACGAAATCCAAGTTGCATTATAATGATGCAGCTAAATCTGCATATAATTAAAGCTTGGTCCAAGGACGAATTGTGTGGTTAAAGCGTATGCTTCACAAATAACGGAATGTTTTATGGTCTAACTGCCATGTCCTAAAGAATGTACGTGTTTATAATAACTTGAAAGGTTCTATTTTTATATATATATATACACACACATAGAGCATGTTTTTGAATCCTGAGAGGCAGTTCAACTGGTAAAATTGTGGGTTTGTGACCGTTTCCAATCCCCTTTTGGTCTTTGGAATGTTTGTCTAATTGTTCACTTCATAGTCCATGAGATTAATCGAGGCGGCTACCAGTTAGTTGGTCTAATCATCCATAATTACTAAATCTATACATATTTGTGTTCGATGAAAGTATCAAGAACGTGTTTGATAAATATATATGGAAAACTATCACCATGTTGAATGATTTCCTACTTCTTCCTACAAAAAAAACCCCATATATTTCGATCTAATTTTTTACCTTCGAATATTGTGTGCTTATGTATCTATTTTTGTTTTGTTTTAGGGGTGGATCTAAACGGCTAAATGCACATGTTGCATGTATGCATGAATTTTCATATGTGTAACAATGATTCAGTGCACTATTTACTTTAATCATGTGGTTTAATAGTTTATTTTGTAACACCAACTTTTAAAATGGTGCTAAAATGGTAACACAATAACAAGATCAAAAAGATATTAATCAGAAGTTAAATAAAATTTCAGACTTCAATATCTTTTTAAAAACAAGCGTTATCTTAGTGTTTGTGATTGTATGTATGTATGTATGTATGTATGTATGTATGTATGTATGTATGTATGTATGTATGTATGTATGTATGTATGTATGTATGTATGTATGTATGTATGTNTGTATGTATGTATGTATGTATGTATGTATGTATGTATGTATGTATGTATGTATGTATGTATGTATGTATGTATGTATGTATGTATGTATGTATTGATGGATGAATGTACTAAGACATTTGTATACACATCATGTATATATAATATACATCTTTATGCATTTTAAATTAAAATCAATACCATTCTCTTTAATTTTGTAATACTTCAAAGTATAATGTACTATTCTTCAATCTTTAACCTTTTTCCAAAAAAAATCTGTATTTATATGATAAATATAATATATATTAATTTGTAACAAATTTATAATATTTGTTTTTTAATTTTATTTTGAAGATATTAATGGGTTATTCAACCATTAATTAATTCGTTTACCCACTTTAATTTTTTAACAACCTTTTTGACTAAATAAATAAGTTTGGGTCATGGGCTCGAAGTACATAAAGATTAATTTTTTTTTATTTGAATTTTGAATCCTATTTCTACTTTGCTTTTATTGTTTTTTAATTATTATTCTTATATATTTTTGGTAGAAATTAAATGTAATATGTCTTCAACTTGATAATAAATTAATATATAATAAGCGTAGTTATTGGGTCAAGATAAAGATTTTCGACTTCATATTGAGTTACGTCTTCAAGAAACAAATAATTAGTGATTTAAACTTTCGAAAATACCACATATATAACCACACATATATATATATATATATATAGAGAGAGAGAGAGAGAGAATCATATTTATACGAAAATAAAAACTAAATAAAAAAATATGAAAAACCGTTGAATTACATAACTTTGATCATGACCTGAGGTTACGAGCCACATTGCCCGCACAACTTTATGTTAACTGTTAGTGTAAAATCACATGTAATTTTGCATGTGATTGTTGTTTTTTCTTGTTATCTTGTTTGATTATTATATTCGTTTAAATTTCTACCTCTCTCTCTCTCGATATATATATATATATATATATAGAGAGAGAGAGAGAGAGAGAGAAAGAGAGAGAGGGGGGAAGTTTATTTTGCAAACCACGTTATTTGTATAAACCGTACAAACCCTCGTTCAACCAATCATATTTTTTTATTTTGTTTATTTTTTTGTAATTATGAGATGTTGATTAATTATTTTTATTGTAGATGATATTAATTATGAATATTATCATCTTCATTATATTAATTTTAGAGAAATACATGAAACAATTTTATTAAAATTTATAACCATATATGCAACAACTTAATCAAAAAAAGTATTATATGAAACAATTTCATGAAAAAATTTCATAAGATTAAACAATGAAATCGACGGATAAAGGTGGTTTACATTTGATCGCTCATATATATATATATATATATATATATATATATTGCATAATATACATTATCTTTTGGAATGAATTATTTGAAATAATACTTTTAATTATGACTATAATCCATTTTTTTTTCTAAAATGCAAAAAAAATTAAATTTAGTAGCTAAACTAGTTTCAGTAATAATATATCGTTGGCTATACAAAAGAGCTCGATGAAATAAAGTCGTATATCCCAACAAATATCGACCTAAAAAGCTACAAGTTTTATAGAAGTTGAACTTCAAATGTTAAGTATTAGGTGTAGCTGTTTTTTTTTCTAATTAACAACAAAAATCAAGTAATTTAATAAATGGGAATTTAAAAATTATTTCCTAGGCTAATAAAGTAAGACATGTACGTTTGAATTAATATTTTATGATCATGGATGATTAATTAAATATTTATTTTAATTATAAACCTAATCTTCAGAAATAAATTGGGTCAATAGATAATGCAACTTATGAAAGCTACTAAACTCATAATGTAATCAATCGAGGGGACATTTTGTCTATGCATTTGAGTACAAGATTCTGTGTATTATTGTATTAAAACATTATTAGCTACTTACGTTAGGTGAACCATCTTATTAACACCTTAAATACCATAAAAACGGGGTCGTTTATATATAAGAGTGATCGAGACGTATGACTCAAACATTATCATCGTGCACAAATTGAATATATATATATATATATATATATATATATATATATATATATATATATGTAAGGTGTTTGCGTGTTATCCCGAAGGCGGTGCTTGTTTTAAAATAGGGGGTGTGATTGATATATGTACGTGGATGATTTCTTGAACTCTTGCTGTCGACAAGGCTATAAATACGAGTATAAATGTTTTTATATGTCAAACGTTAGATATAAATACTTACGAATTTGAAAATGGCGAAACAAAATAAATATAAGATAGAATTTATTTGACATGGAAAAGAAAAGAGAAATCACAACAAATTAATACAACTATATACAAGACATCAATATGTCTTCTTTGTTATCTAATGTTACTTAACCAAATGATAGACAAAAATTTCATAAGAATCACATGTGAGAAGACATTTTAGAGTTGACTTAGCGGCTAAGACTATCATAGGCATTCAAATACAACCCCTCTAGATTATACAACCGATACAACATGTACCTATCCACTATCCATTTTTTTATTAAAGGTAGTTACAACCGATCAAATGGTAATCTTTGATGATCGAATGGACGCTCCTCATTTTGTTGTAAGGGTTGTAGGAAAATAAAGAGTTGCATAATAACTCATATATATATATATATATGATATACATACATATTTATACATAGGGAAGGAGTATTTAAATTATGGGGAAGGCACTAGAGGGTTCAAACTCCAATTATCCACGACTTATCTTAGATAAACTACAAAAAACTATGTGCATATTTTATTCCTCCTGACGTACGATCTAGCTTCGTAGATGATAAAATTTCAAGATGACCCAAAAAACAAGGTTTTCCCTTCTAAAATGTCAAAGGCTCATGCGTCCCTAGCTAGCTATTATTGGTCTCATTATCAAAATCTTCACTACCTCCAATACATATACATATACATATACACACTTGTATGTATGTATGTATGTATGTATATATGTCTGTATGTGTGTATATATCTAGAGAGAGAGAGAGAGGCATAGAATTAAAGAGAGTCTAGATATATATAGAGAGATGGAATTATGGGTAACAAGCTTCTTGGCAGCTCTTGATGTCTAATGATCAAGCTCTAACTTAACCCTATATACATATTTATTGGTGTAAAAACGCATAAACTGCGAAATATGGTATTGGATGATAAGATGAATGAACATGATGATGATGATGATGATGATGATCATATATAAAAAAGCAAACTAGGGTTACTAATAATAGAAAGTGAATGATCAGTTCCTCATCATTCTAACAGCAAGTTCTTGAAGCTCACCCAAGTCACTTGGGAAAGGTCTCTTTTTGTTGTTATATATATGTTGAAAAGATATATCATGGTAGTGATCATCTCTGCTTTGTTTCTCTTGAACCCCCATTCCTTCATTATTATGATCAATGGATTCAAGTGAACTCTGTGGTGAAATGTTTCCATTCATGATAGTAGTGAAATTTGGGTAATTTTGATATGCCGCCATTGATCCCGCCCATTGATTATTTGAATCGAAGATTCCTTGCGCGATTTGAGCCTTTGTTTGCATCAACTGTGTTTGTAAGCATGCAACCTATATACATATATATCATTCAAGTTGTAAGATCACCAAATGAGAGAAGAAATTACACCATTAATGCAATGAATTTAACTTATAGAGGTGAAGGTTCAAATAAGAAAGGTAAAATGTGGTTGAGAACATAAGAATAAGTGAATCAATGTAAACACGAAGAAAAGAAGTCTTTTGAAGATCTATGCATATGTGAACACAGGTTTACTTACCTTTTACCAATTATTCACATATGAATATGCACATCTGAATCCATGTTTTGGATCTTATTACTAATCCATACGTTTCTCTCAATCTTTTTGTCTTTCTTTTTTAAACCTCTTACCTCCCTGATTACATATGTGTGTGTATATACCTGTTGCTGCAACGCGAAGATATGGGCAACACAACCATATACCGGATCTTTGATCCTGGCTTGAGCTTCGTAAGCAATAGTGACGACGGCCTCACAACGGTCAGCCACCGGCACATGAAGCAGTAGTTTGGACACATTGCTAGCCCCAAACACCTTATGAATGGCAGCAAACCGAGCCGGGCCTTGTTCCGAGCAAAAATAGGGCGCAAAAATACAATCTGTGGCACATTTTCTTCTTAGAAACTTGCATGCACCACAAGGAGAACCAGTCCCACCAGCAGTTGCCATAATCGAAGAGATCTAATTAATGAAACACAGCAGGCACACGAGGAGAATAGGAAATGGTGAAAAATAAGGGGGTCTGGAGGGGTTTTAAAGGAGGGAGAGGAGACAAAGAAGGTGTGTTTGTAGGGTTGTAAAGTGACACTTACTAATGGCTTATGCAACTATATATGGGATCCATCCTTTCTTTAATAAGTGTAGATAACCACAAGTCCATAACCATATGACCATTGGCATCCTAAAAATAGAGTCTTTTTCATCGTAAAAACCCCGTTCAAACCGAATACTTTTTGTTGCTCGATCAGATAACTTAGGTACAAACAGTTTGTTTTCGAACGTGTAGTTCAATTGACGATAAAACACTATTAAAAACTGGACTTTCACCTACGGATATTTCCAAAGGATCATAAGAGAACGGATTTAAACTCCTCTGCTAACATCAGAATCAGCTTTGAAGTATCTACTCATATGTGTTCCTAAAGGTCAGGTTCTGTGTCAAGCCGGTCACGCTTGCAGATAATCAATCCTCTGGCTAAATATAGCTTTGGCTTTAAATCGATATCGTTTTATTTGTATATATTCAAGAAAGTTGTTTTAATCATGCAATTTCATAATTATTCAAACCTATTAAAGAGATCTTCATTAGTCCAATAAAAAGATGGTATTCAAAAGTAGTTTAAATAATTATATACTTTCCAAAAATAATATAAATTTATTGTATGCTTTAAATACACTTTTTTTCAAAATACTTTAATTAGATAACATTTAATAGAAACAAAATATTTTTAATTCGAATTATTACCTGTAATTTTTTTTGAAGTATATAATATTTATATACGGCAAAAAAAACACATAAACTCACACACCCTCATCATATTTGGTGAGGTTTAAACCTCTGACCTCCGAGGAGGCCAATGACTCACATACGGTTAAAGTATTTTCTACATCTTGAGAACATAGTTTTCATCTCATATTTCTTGATTTAGAGTACATATTTAAACAAAATCAGTATAGTTGAAAACGATTATAAGAATCTAAAGGGTATTCAAATGTGTTATTGTAACACTGAGAAATAATAACCAGATAACTAATTACCTATAACAGAGTAATTAAAATCATTACATTAAGGTTAATAACTTATTTGTTCAATTTTTATGCAAAAGCTAGTTTTTTTTTTTTTTKTCCATTAATTGCATGAAAATAAAACGTACTTTAACTTGATTTCTATTTTGGATAACGTACTTTCAAAAATTCTATTTTGGTATCTAAGATGTAAAGTTATAAACATTTAAGTATATGGGTAACCGGTTGAAGCATTAACCGGTTACCATGTTGATGTGGCGAGTGATGTGGTACTCGGTTAATGCTTCAACAAATAATACTGAGTTGGATATCGCATCACTCAACACATGAGCATCGTAATCCGTTAATGCTTCAACCAGTTACACATATACTTAAATATTTAAAACTTTATATTTTAAGTACCATAATGGAAGTTTTGAAAGTATGTTACACAAAATAAGAATCAAGTTAAAGTACGTTACTTTTTCATGTAATTCACTCTTTTTTTTCATCTATTAACAATTACTAAATTAGATACCACCATATATCTACCATCTACATTAAACAATTTTATTTCAGATACATCTCAACAAAAATAAAAAAAGGGTCCCTTACTAAAACACAAAAATGTTACTGTAACTGTTCAAACGCGTTTTTTCAAAAGTCTGATTAATTAAAACTATAAATAAAAAACCAAATCAAGTCCGTCATGTTCGAACCAACCGCCCTCCAAATATATAATAATATTAAATAATACGATTAAAAACAATTAATTTATTTAATTTTATTAATAACATCATAAAAAGTCAAGTTTAATGAGCGATTCTTCAGTAAGAGAAAAAAGAATGGGGTCCATGTGTAAATTTGATTATTTTGAAAGGGTGTTTAAAGAAACATTTTTCCGCCGAACGCCGCCGCCGAACGTTGCTTCTTGTCGTATTGTCACCGACACGTGTCAGTCACCTAACAAATTGATTTAGTGGGTTATTATTTACGTTAATCAACACTAACTTACAAATTTGACCCATTTTTGGATTTGGTTTTCTAGTCTAGTCCCCCGCCCCCATATTAAGGGGTCACCATTCCTTTGACTTTGAAATTCTCTACCAACAAAATTATATATTACCCATTTCTGTTTCTTTTTTTCGATAACAGTAGATATCTGGATCTGCTTACGTGTATCGACTAATCTTTACATGATCACAGACGGTTTAGAGAATGTTTGTTAGTAGTTTAATGGGGGGCACCATTTATTCGGTCAGCTATGCATGATTTTTTGGTAATGACTTAATGATATAGAAATTGGCTTATTCAGTAAGCTTTATATAGAAAATCAAGTTTTTTCAAACATACCCATCTCAAATCTCGATTAAAAAAACAGGTTTTTTTAATCTATGAAAAAATTATCTCAAACAAAAATAAATTTATACAGACAGATTAATCCACATAGACAATTTTATTCATACATGACTTAATGGTGGAAAACCAACCAAACACCTCCTTAGAGGCATTAGAGGTGAATCTTCATGGCCATAAAAAATTTGACAGTGTCGGGATTTGAACTGAGGAATATAAGATTTCCACTACATCTCTCTAAGCTTTAATTTGTGCCCCACAACCCAAGTGGTTTTCCTTTTACCTTTTTAATGTCGTTTTTAATGTTAAAATGATCAAATATAATAAAATGTACAAGCTAAATAACATAAGATTTCAACCATGGGTGTCAAAGTCAATATAACGTATCACGATATGAATTCAGTATGATTTCGATTAGACATGGCCAAAAATCAGTCCCAGACCAGGCCTAAATCGGCCCCGGTCCCAAAATGTGATCCCGTAACTGGTCTCGGTGTAATCGGGACCCAAATACGAAGGTCTGGTTAAGATGTATGAGACCCGGTTATGAGAACCGATCTCAGTCCCTATCCTGGGCCGGACCCAAACCGGTTCTATGTAAAAATAAAAAATAAAACTCGAATTTTATGTAAAAAAAAAAAATTTGAAGTTATTTTTAAAGAATACAAAAGTTTAATTCTAATACACTTGAAATTATGTAATTGAGTCAATTAAATACACTTAAAAAGTACTTTCTTTTACAAGAATTGTGAGTGTTTGTAATACAGGTTCCAGGTTGGTCCCATAACCGATCCCGGCCGGGTCGGGCCCATTTGGCCATTCTCTAATTCCAATATACAATTGTGTACATACTACATGGTGTGTAAAAAATTATTCGGTCCAATTACAATTAACCTACCAAAGTTGAATATCCAATCGACGAACTATAATTGACCCAAATTCTCAATATTAAAATTGAATAAATCAGTTCTTATATAATAATTCAAACTACAATAAAACTGATCATATTCAATCAAATTGTCATCCAATTATATACATATAATCATGAAATGTAAGAAAATCTATAATTACATATTTATTTCAGAAAGGGTCATTTAACCTAACAGAGTACTGATAAAATCCAACTATTTAAAAGGTCAAATGATTCAAACCTCAACAAAAAATGAATTATTTTTATACATATTTATTTGAGTAATAAATTTCTAACACATCCAAAATGTTCAAGCATCCCCATCATATATAAAAAATATTAACATACCACCAAAATAAAGCATCACTTTATTAAAAAATAAACTTAGAAATTAAGTGGAATGTGTACTTTTTGAACAACAAACATCATCATCAATGTTATCATTAAACTTCTTCCCAAGCTTAGTGACCCTTTTACCGTGACTATATTATTAGCAACTCAGATAAAAAAAATACCTGCGATCGTATGATGTTAAGTTTTTCGTCGTTTTCCAACTTAGAATGCTGACAATAATGATCTAATGGGTCCCAGTCAGCATTCGTCATCGTCGAATCGGTTATGCATTGGCGGTGGTTGAAATAATAGAAAAATATAACGAATTGTAAAGAGAAAAATGGACACTGAAACCATCGAGAGTAGTGTTCGTCATCTTCAATGAAGAAAAATGGCATTTATATCTCCATTTTTCCCCAACCGGTGAATAATGAAACAAAACTAAACGTACCCACGCGTTATACAAACGCTATGGACACGTCTTATGCCATAACGAGCTTTTTTGAACACTGGTATAAATTGGTTGATTGGTTCCTTGCCTTACACCGGTTTTTCTAATTTTTCTACAAATTGAGCAATATTTACCAAACTCCACTCATTAGAGGCTTGCACCAACATTTCATTTTAAAAAACTATATGATAGCATCCTTCAGAAACGTAATTTTTTTGTCGCATCCACCGACGCCACCACCACTACCGCCAGATTTGCTTATGCCGCCTCTACCACCATTATGGATGTTATTGCCGCCAATGTTTCCACCTCCGTCGCCACCACCACCAATTGGTATCATTACAAGTTATTCAGAACTTAAGGAAAAAACGGGATATGTTATAAAAGATATATTTTGGTCATTTATCGTTATTTTGATACAACTCCGCAGTTATATTCTGAGAACGAAAATTTCATCTCCTGTCAACCAAAATATGTGGTCAAGCCTTCATTTTTAACCACAATAACATCAAGATCAGAAATTTACTCTGGTGCCAAAAGCATTTGCAATTACATCACCAAAAGATTTGCTTCAGATCTCCAAACAAACCCCAAAAAGAGATCTTTAAGCAATTAGTTGTCTTTTTAAGGTCTACAAACCAAGAACACAAAGTACTAAAACAAAAGTTACCATTTTTGTACATTGCACTCTTCTGTGTTTTTCTTTCTTACCTCTTGTGATGAAACCTCACCTTCAGCAAGAACTGCAACTTCACCTGAAAATTTAGCATATCAAGAATCTGAGTTCATCGGCCATAGGTGCATACAAATCGACCACATAAATGCCAAGATCATCATAAGAAAAAGAATCTTGATTTTTCTACACGGTTTCAAGAAACGCCAAACTTAACATTTTTTGAGTCTGGTTTTCATTTCTTGCTTACATCAAAGGGAACCCATGGTCACATCTTCGTTCTCTCGACACTAAATAAATGGGGCTCACAAATGTAGATGGTAAATGACGTAAATGAGTAGAATCTAAGTGGTTGTTTACTACCTGTTGACTGCCTCTTACTGGTAAGAGGTGATTACCCGATAAGAAGGGATATTGTTTACCAACACTTTTTGACTGAGATGCTGACTCGGTAAGGAAGGGGTTCTGATTCGGCCGGTACTTCAGTCAACGCTCACCCAAATATTTGGTAACAATCATTTGCTTATCCAGATCGAACATCTTACTCAGACTGCACTCTTAGGGGATGTTCACTTTCTTTTTTCCATTAAGCCCTGTATGGGTTATTGTCTGTCTAGATAAATTTGTCTGTCCGAGGGACCAACAGGTTTGAAGGGGCAAAGAAAGAGGGTTGGATTATTTCAGGGGCATTTCTAGTATAATTTGTTTGAGATGACTTTATGGGGGCAAGTGAGGGGTCCCTGGCTTATTCCATATAGCCATTTTGGCTTCACGATTAAGCTGTAAAGAAAAACTCCTGTATGGCTGAGCGAATAAGCCATCCAGACCATTAAGCCCATTAAGTTGCAAGTAAACAGCCCCTTGCTCGGTTAACGCTTACCCAATATGTGTTGGTAAACGGCCCCTAAGCTCATTATGCTTATTCTTGAGTACAGAACAGACAGGGAAAAACATTTTACACTGAAAAAGTTTCCAATAACGTAAAAGAATATCAAACTTACTTGATTAGCGTTGTAGACGATGTACTCATTATACATTAATTCAGACGCCTTAACATTTGACGATACTGGCTTTCCACAAGGCACGACAACGTCATCCTTCCACTTAACGTGTTCAGACTCATTAGGGATCTTCTTGCCAAGCCCTTTAGTCGAATCCTTCCCTTTTGGAGGTTTATCCATATACTACAAAAATAAATAATAAAGTTAAAGACGTCGATCTTGACAAGCAAAATACCGAAGGAAAAATGTACACATAACACGACATAGGGAAAAAATAGTTGCAGGACTTCATGGAAACGGCCGCTCTACTTTTTGGAATGGATGACAGGTCTGCATACTTCCCACCATCAAACCCCACTTTCGGGTGGGCTATACTGGGCTCGTTTGGTTTGGTTTATAACATAGGGAAGACGTGTGCAATTAGTGTTATAAAATGGTAATTATATTATGAAAACCGACCTTCGCCTTCTTGAGCTCATGCATCTCCCCCAAAGCAACCTCGCTTAGTAGCATTAAGCCCACCGGGTTTTTCTTGTCGGTAAAACAATATTGAGCACTTTTGCTTACCAAGTCAGCAAAATAAATCCCTTTGCCAAACTACACATAAAAGAGAATATCTCTTGATCATTGGATTAGTCGCACGATCCATTTACAAACAAATGTGCATTATAATATATGGGTAGGTTCAAATAAGACATGTAAATATTTTCAGAAACAAGGAACAACTATTCATGCTTTATTCAAAATGAATGACGCAATAGATATTTATGATGAAAATTACTCATGATGAAAATGCATGATTCTTTATGAAAATGCATGATATCCTTAATGAAAATGCATGATGTCATGAATTATGAAAATGCATGATAAATAATATTTGTGATTATTGAGGGTTGTTATTCATGAATAATACATGAAATAGTTGGTTCCGAGATTCTCAAGATATTTATGGTTCTCATTTGAACTTTTCCCTATTATATATATAGTCACCTTTTACAAACCTAGTAATTTGTACAAACTAGTTTTCATGTGTTATTTCATATATGAAACAACATGTGTGAAAATGCGGTGTTAATACAGTGTTGTTTCATATGTGAAACATTCAGGACTGTTTTTTCCACACACAAAGCAGTCCCAAACGTTTCACATATGAAACAACAATACAGATGAAAACTGATTTGCAAGTATGTATGGTTATTGGGTTTGTAAATGAATATGCATATATATGTGTGTGTATATATATATATGTGTGGGTCTGTGTAGAGAGAGGGAGAGAGAGAGAATGAACCATATAGCCAGTTGCTGGAGCTTCGGGAGGAGCTATTCGCAATCCTTGGCTTAAAATACCAACAAAGTTTGTCAACCGAGAACCTATTAAGAACAACAGATTTTAGTACCATCTCGATGCTAAATGCTTTCTAGCAGCTGCAAATGAGGCTGCAACTTAAGAGGATTGACTGTTTGAGTTAAGAACCCGAACTATAAATCAACCAACCCATTTTAATCCAAATTGTAAAATTTATGTCCTCCCATATTACATAGCAAAAGAAACTTCAAACCCACCATGCCAAAGAAGCATCTTGTTCTTGAGTTTATCTTTATAAGGAGCAAATTTATCAAACTCCCCTCGTCTTTCAACTGTGAAAACTTCTTCAAGTTCAAGTGCCCAATCCTACGAATAAAGCCAACTTTCATCATGGGTGTTATGTTAAAAGACGAAAAAGGCCAAGAAACTGCAATTCAGATGTTTCTGCAACGTATATCATGAGATATAGAGGGAGAAGTAGACACACCGTATGTGTAGGGGCGTGTGTAGTTTGGAGATACTTCTCAACTAACCGATAATCTTCACTATCATGAGGAAGAGGAACCATTTCACATTGAAGCTTTTTATATTTATCGTCAAGTGAATCATCATTGTCAACATCAAACCCTACTAGCCTAGAAGCAATTTCAATATCCTGAAGTGCTTCTAACATCTTAACCTACAATAGAGAGAGAAAGAGAGAGGCACATAGAGAAAATGCTAATCAGATTACCATATATATATATATATATATATATATTCATCAAGAATTGGGGGGACCATAAACAGCGCGACCACATGGCATTTATTCATCAGGAATATGGGCGTGTTATTCCTTATGAATGATGTAACATATTCATCATGAATGTATTATTTATGATGAATATTCATCTGGAAATGTGGCGCGCTGCGGGCAGTTCCCGAGTTCTCAACAAAAACCAGGCTCTCAACCAAACATTCCTATATATACATATATAGGGTCACATTCAGGGAAAAACTGCAAAAAAAGAAAAAATTGAGAAACACCCTGGTAACCGTTCATCCGGATGGTATGCACATGCGCATACAAGTAGTTTTTAAGCAATTTGTCCGGTATGCACATGTGCATAAAAACCAAGAAACGGGTTCAATTACTTGTATTCACATGTGCATACCGTCCAGATGAATAGTTATTAGGGTGATCCTCAGCTTTTTTCCCCTAAACCTCCCTCTACATATATATACATGATGACATTTCTTGAAAATAAATGAATTCTTCCGTACCTTTGATTTAAAGTCATCCTCGTCCTTGATTACATGTGGATGAACGGAAGGAATGACTGTAAAAAATCGGTTGCTAGCATCAACAATCATACTTTCTTTCACTGCAGGGTTATCAGCTGCCTTGTTCAATAGATTCTGAAGTTCTGTCAATACTTCAAAACCTGGAAGAAAATGATGAAAAACAGATTGTTACGATACCGTAAATATCTCTATAACATTTTTTATAAATACATTACCAATTTTCAGTACCTTTTTGGATATTACTTTTGCTAAGCTTTCCAAGAGGCATCTCCGCCATATTAATCTCAAATTCCATCATTGCAGCTCTGCAAAGTTCAAACTTATTATAAATAAATAAATAAAAAGAATACCCCTTTAAGCATGTAGAGTAAAATAATAAAGACGAATTATATCAACCGGTATGTTTCCACGTTAAACAACATCTTCATCAACTCGGCCAACGGGGGAGCAAGTTGGCTCTTCGCATCCTTAACTTTGTTCTTCTGATGTGAGTCTTTGTTCACCCCATAATCCTGCGAAATCAAGCATTCGAGCATCAAGGGAAGCTAATGAAATGCATTCACGACCTGTTTCTTGAAATGATTCTTGAAATTCAGGTCAGTATGAAAGTAACCAGGGAAGATTGACAATACAATATCCAAGGGGTAGAATCTTCCGGGTTGCTTCTGAAGTTTCTTTTGTTCCCAAGCCTCCCATGTATTTCCAGTTTTATCAAGAAATAACCGCTTGAATTCTTGAATCGCATCCGCCTTAGACATCTCTTCCAACTTGATTCCTCCGATTTTTTCATTCCCAACTCGACCCCACTTCCGAAACACATGACAGTTTGATCCTTTATCATCTTCGATGATCTGAAGGATATAATAGCTTCATACAGACAACATGTAAGACTTAAGAAGGCACGAGTGAAAGAATAATTCATGAATAATAGACACCCACAATTGAAAGCAGTCAACAAGCCTCGGAACTTTATAAAACCACAAGGATGAGTTTGGTATCCAGTCATAGAACATGACAGACCAGATAAAATGACTAATTTACCGCTAAGAGTTGTTTATATCTTTTATATATTTTGATTAATTTGTGTAATTTATTAAATTATAGCAACATAAATATTTTATAACAAAATATATCATTAGAAAGTTTTTGTCAAGACGATTAAAATGACACCAAAATGAAAGGTTTATTTAGTTTGTTATTTTTATTTTATACCTTTTCTATTTTATTTTTTCATTATTAATATTTAATAAATTACATAAATTATCCAAAAATATAGAAAATGTATAAAACCAATATTTTGGGGGTAGTAAAGTGAAAGTTTAAAGAGCATAAAATACAATAAATAAAATTTAAAGAATGAATAAAACGTAAAGAGGGAGGCGTATTTGATGTTTTAGAATAGAATTAGGTTCTATTTTGAGATTATATTGGTAGAATATAGGTTTGTTCCACCTTGTTCCATGGGGTGGGAGTAGAACATGCCTGTTCCACTTTGTTCTACATAAAAGTCCTGTCAAATATGGAACAGTAATCCCTGTTCTGTTCTGTTCTTAATACCAAAAGCACCCCAAAGATCAATCAGAAATGGTTAAGAATATTTGGATGAACCACCTGTTAACACCAGTGGATAGGTCCGATAAGCTCAAAGTTGTGTTATAAATGCTTTTTCCGTGCTCCAAGATATGCCCGGTATCTTGCAAGCCAGATGCTTCATGGACAGCACTCCGCCCTTTCACTTTAACAGTGACCATGCTTTTGGCCTCTTCACTCGTTTCAATCTTATACAAATCAAAACGAAGTTTCTTCTGTCTTTTAAAGCAATCAACCAGATAATCTTCCCTCACAATCGGTATTTTCATCCTCCTGTCAAGTTCAAACCAACACAATTTCAAGAATACCACTCGCAAGGAGATTTTAGTCATTATTCGGATAGGCCCTTTTTAACTAGGAGCGCATCCAAACCGCCCACACCGCACCGCAAACCGCGGTTTAGAACTTCCGCATTGCGGTTGCTTTTGTACCAAACCGCACTATGCGGTGATGTTGCGGTTTTAAGTTATCAAACTGCGGTTCAAACCACACCGCACATGATATACATGTATATATTTTTAATTTTATCTATAACATATATATATATATAATTGCTAAATTTATGTAATATTTTTAATCTATTTTCTCCATGATCCATTAATAAGTCCGAAGTTTTGGACTTTGATCAATAATATTAATAAATTATAGCCCAATAACGCATTAGGATCTTTTGGGCTTTAATCAACATTCACGACACGATTTCACGTTTTTCCATTTTGTGTTGATCTGCAACTAATGCCTTCAGCCTTAAGTTACTTTCAAGTCTCAACAATTTAGTTTGAAGTTAATTTTTTTTACTTCTTAGACTATTTCTAATTTATGTAATATGTATCTGGAAATTCGACATGTTGAAACCATATATCTTTTCCGCCTATGGTCACGTTATCGTTGATTTTATAATATTGGATTATAGGCATAAAATGCATTAGGTACAAATAGTATAAACCATTGCAAGGTTTGAGGTGTATGCGGTGCGGGTTTGCAGTTTGGGAAAATGCTCAAACCGCATATGCGGTGTGGTTTGTGGTTTTGCCCCAAACAGCACCACGAACACCCCTACTTTTAACATTTCAAATGAAAATATGATCGTGGATTCGTGGGACGGTCCCATTTACTTGATTTAACGAGGATTCAGATGGTGTAAGCGAAAACCATAACGTTACCTTGCCTTCCTCATCTCTGCATTCTGATTCTCCGGCGCTCCACTTACAACTAAGCAGTTTGTATCTACCATATTTACATAAAAGTGGCACTATTTTAGCCAAGAGACCTCAAAAACGAGCATAGAGATGTTTTTCTAGATTCTAATCCGGATCTTTATGCAAGAAATACCTACCTTTCTTGATTTTCACATGAACCTGTCCGCCCACGCTCTCAATTCTGGTCTTCCACTCATCCTGGATAGTAGCATACATCAGAAAGTTGCGTGCTTTACGAACATCTTATGACGAAAATGTACTAGAAATAGTACCATAGTTTTAGACGGAACACCCATAATACAAACTTTCAAATCTCCCAGTTTTTCACTGTGGGATGACTGAGTCGTCCCATTAACCGCTGATTTTCCAGGAGTACTCGATGAAGGTGGAGGCATTATCCGAACGGGTTTTTTCACCTTCTGTGTCTTGAACCACTGAGGATCGTCAATCAGAGAAAAAGTTAGAGTCTTTGCGCCCAACAAAACGAAACAAAATTCGTTTACTTAACTACCTTCATCAGATACTGATTCTTGGTTTCTTGTGGGATGTTCCACTTTCCTTTCACACGTTCAGGCTCGGAAGTGGAGTATGCACACTTACTCCATTCGGTTAGAAACCCTTTGCATTTGTAGGTACCTCCAGAATAGTGAAGATGCCCGGAACAAAGTGGGCAGTTTTCAAGCGGTCCAAAAAGCATCCCATCAGCGCTGATCGAAGAAAATGCAAAAACATCCAAAAAAAAGTATTTAATGATATGTTATTGGTGAATGTAAACAGTTGTGTGTACTATGTAAAAGTGTTACGATAAATTGTTAGAACGCTTTCGGGCGTCCTAAAATTCTTTATGGCATTTTTTAAGTAAAGTGTCATATTAGTTTTTTTATACTATGAACACATCTTTTTATAGGGCATTTGTTTTTATAAGACACTATTTCAAATAATGTCATATAAGAATACTAATAAGACACTTTATTTCAAGCGTCCTAATTAAAAAACTTGTGAAGACGCTCAAAAACGTCATATCAACTTATCGTAACACATTTACATAATGATGCACATTTGTTTGATCCTATAAACCTAAGTCCTATAAAGCAGTCTATTACAACATCTAGACATATTTGGCGTCATATAAAGCAGTCTATTACAACATTTAGACATATTTGGCGTCATATAAAACAGACTATTATAACATTTAGACATATTTGTTGTCCTATAAAGCCGATTTTGTTGTAGTGGGTCGAATTTATATTCATTGAAGGATTAAGTGACAAAAGAGAAAACTATAATTTTTATTGTTTATGGGCAACTAAAACGCGTTGAAAGAAAAGTATTTACCAGCGGTCACGCAAGTCAAGTTCTGATCCTGATGAATCTTGATTATTAGCTTCAAGCATTTCCCGTAGCTCTACTGTTGACACACTCTTTTTAAGATCATCTTTAAGAGCCCATAATTCTTTTGCCTGGGCCTCTAGTAAACTATGCAACTTGGATGGTTCCAATTCACGATCCCCTGAATTGTTGCCGCACTTCGGTGTTTCAGGTGTCGATGGGTCACCTTCGATCTTAGCCATCTTTGACTTCTGGTCATGACCAACGGATCCTTTACGTTTAGAGCTTTGTTTTAGCGTTTCTTTCTCCTCCTTCACTTCATCTTTGCCTAAAAGAACAAGCATTAAATGGTCACACACGAGCATAACAAAGAAAGATGAAAGTTCAAATGAGAACCATAAACATTTTAACCTGGGAACCAACTATTTCATGTATTCACCATGAACATCATGCATTTTCATCATGAAAATCTATCACGCCATTCATGTTAATAAAACATGAATAGTGGGTTCTTAGGTTCTCAAAAATATTTACGATTCTCATTTTAAACCTGCCCCAACAAAAAAACCAACACAACTTTATAAAGACGCTACCTTTTTTGTTGGCCGGAACCTTCTTAACCAACGAACCAACGGTTGCCTTATCAGAATCCGACAGGTTCTCCCACCCAACCACTTTTTCAAGTTGAGTTGTTGGAGAAGCATCCATGAAACATTTGGCGTGGTGCCATGCCAACCCTCTAGCACCTTGACCCTCAGGCTTACTAGATATACGAACCTACATGTAAAGAATCAAAAGAAACTCATTTGCAAGCACAAACCACGGAATTTCTGGTTTTTGGTAGTTCATTCCAATGATAGTAATAACAGAAAGAACAAACAAAAAGAATGCCCACCTCCCCCGTCAGAATCTTTTCGTTACATATCTTACAAGTAGCACGAGCAGTTTTTGAAGCTTCGATTGTGCATTTCGTAGCAGATGGAGCAGGTGTACTTGGGGATCCGCCACCCCCGCCGCCACCTTCGACATATTGTCTTATCTTCTGTTGATCTTCCCAACGAAGTGTTTCAATGCCTTCTACATCATCGGTACTAAAATACAACAAAAAGTTAGAAAATACCATTCTTAAAATCAGAAGAGACCATTCAGGGTGTGTTTGGTACCTAGACGAGACAGGACTAGACAGGCGAGAGCGAGGTGAAAGAATTAGGTTTTAGGGTTTTGACTTCTGACAAGGGTATTTTAGTAATTTACTAATCTTGTCCTATCTCCCTTGTTTATGTTCCAAAAAATTGCATTTTTGTCCCACTAGTCCCATTCTAATGTCACATCAAACGGGATAACAAGTTTTTGTTCAGCCTGTCCTGTCCGGTCCGGTCCCACATATCAAGAAACAAAACGTACGATTTTATTTGTTTCGCCTTCTTCAATATGCACTCCGCATGATGCCACATCTGTTCCAAATATATGCATAATTAAGCAATTTCTTAACAAAATTTCATAAGAGATTAGATGTGTAGCTTTTCTACCTAGAATACGAGTAAAAGGGATGAAAGAAGCTTGATACCCCTCAAAAGAACCTTACAAAAACTTAGAGAATGAAGAGCATTTCCAACCATCGTACTTAGCACGTGTTAACCAACCCCATATACTTTCAAAAACGCAAAAAGAATCTGTGTAGTTGGCAAAGATGCGCAAAAAATAACCATTACACTTACTAAATTATGTCCAAGTTCAAGCATTTTCGCCAACAACAACGGATTCCTTCTGCACTTTTGAGAGTACAGTGGTTACTTAACAAATCGAGGCATCGTATCATGGTTAGAAATGTTATCCACCCAAAACTAAACGAGTAAAGATTGCCCCCGAGTGTCGTCGGCCCCTAGAGTGGTAGACCTAGGCTAAGATGCAATGTGAGAATACGTGGAACCCCCAAATCAATCTCCAAAAGAACATATATCGAGTAGAAAATGGTCCTATATAAGCATTTCATTATCTAGCCAAAGGCACGAACAACTGCAAAATCAGAATTACAACTTCTAACTCAAAATTTAAACAACCACACATTGTTTAAATCCACAAAAAACTAATTAACTTCCAAAAAGGAAACACAATCAAATGAGCAAAATAAGGCAATCATGTAAAGATTCAAACATACCCTCAAGAAACACAACCCTCAAACCCAAATCCCAAAATCTATCCACCCACATAAAATCAGTTCCAAATCAAAGTTCTTGATGACTTATTGCCAATTGGGTATTCAACGTTATAACAAACTTCATACAAAAACTAGGTTTTGCATAGAAATCAAAAGAACTTGGTTAACATTGAGAGGAAAAGCAAACCCTAAAATAGCAAAACCAGTACAAGACTATATTAACAAGATTGAAACAACCCCATTTGCCATTTACACCATCTGAAACAATTAAGATCAAGAAACCTAAATGCGAAGACCAAGAAACCCAAAAAAGTGGCGAAGATTAAGGAAAGAAGTAGTAGCAGGAATCTATTAACAGGTGGGTGGTCGGAATGTATTAAATGAAAGTAAGGATGATTGATTGATTGATTGATTACAGGCATGAAACCATCGAATTGGGTGGCCGGAATCATCTTGCCAAGACGAAGTGTTTCTTTATCAATAGGCTTTTTGCAGGCTTTGCATGAAGATCTTCCCGATTTTGCGTATTCAGCCTTCCATGGCTTCGGTGGAGTCGCCATTTTTTTCCAGTTTCTCACACTGTTTTTCCTTTCGTTCGCAGGAAGGAACAAGAAGAGAGTGGCAGTATGACTATATGGGTTTCTTTTTTCCCTGTTTTTGAGTACAAAAATTACCCTTTTTTTTCTTTCTTATGATGTTTAATGCGAAAAAAGAAAATACCCTTTTTGAGTGATTTCATTGTTTTGTCTTTCTATGTTTTTCTTGGTTTCACAATTAAAGTTAGGTTTTTTAGATCGTGGTATCTAGACCGGTCTATGTACATGTTGCTAATCCGAGCGTCTCAAGAAAACAGTTAGAAAAATCATCAGTGGTCTTGTATATTTTGGACCAGCTTAAAGTTAGTTTAATGAGATTCATAACTTATTCGGTTAGCTATATATGATTGTTTGTTAGTTGTTTAATGATATATAAAGTGGCTTATTCAATAAGCTTCTATAAATGAGCTTATGCAGAAAGTTAAGTTTTTCTGAACTTGCTCCTCCTGATTAAAAAACATGTTTTTTCCATCTATAAAAAAACTCTTTCAAACAAAAATCTTCTCTTTGATACAAACAGATTAATCCACATAAATAGATTTATTCATACAGGATTTTATTGGAAACCAACCAGACAACCCCTTAATTGTGTTCTAGAAAAAGTCCAAAGAAATTTAACATATCTTTTTGTTTTGAGTGATTTTTTATAATAAATCATTGAACTTACTGAGATTAAATAAGTAAGTTTTTGAACTTACTAAATAGGACAAATAAATCTTTGAATTTAATATAACCTAATAAACTTTCATATTTTGAACAATTAAGTACTTGGACAATCTTTAAGGATAAATTCTTACACTTATAAAGCATAATAAATATAACGTTTTTGTTTCCATGTATCAATAATCAATAACAAATACAACGAACCAATAAATTTGAAAAATATACATCATTTTTTTTATTAACCGTTATTGTTTTCCATATTCAACTCACAATTACAAGTGCTTGTTATGATCATGTCATTTGAATGTAAAAAATAAATAATGATTAGTTTCGCTTATGATTCTCCTTTGAGTATAGCTAATAAATAATAGATAATTAAAATAATATATAATCATTTTCGTTTGTTGGTTTAGGGGCCGTTTACCACACGCTTACTCGGTTAAACACTTAACAAGTCGTATTACCTTATTGGATGTATATGGTAAGGATCAAGAATCTTACCCGGTATAATTGTAGGCAAGGACTGAGAGTCTTACCCAGTAAGTGAGGACAACAACACATATGATGCTATTTTTATAGACTAAAATCTTACCTGGAGGGACTTAACAACCGTCAAGGGAGGAACCAAATCCATAACAAAATGCAAATAGCATGTAAAAAGATTTGTATTTTTAAATTTCAGAAACGATACACAATGTTCATAAAAATCACATGGATGAAAATTGTAATTAAACCTCGAAAGTATTACATATTCCATTTTGTAGAAGTAAATAATAGTTTTCGTCTTCGTGGTGTGTCAATTTGGTGGGTTTCATACCTCAATATACATTTACTACAAATTTGTCCCCGAGTGGTATATCTTTTAACAAAATTCGTAACGCTTGATCACCTATACCATCTGTTACGTGTAGTCACTTGTCCATTATATGAGGGTATTTCGGTCATGTTATATGTAAAATATGACGTGCCAATTCATTTAGAAAGAAAAAAAAAATCAAACCCCATAAATAATTGCCTCTTATTCCTCAACTTCACCACAAATTATTTTTACATTTTGTCACCGTCATTGGTTTTGCTTCTCTGTTAGGAGCAGTAACAACAACCCTACACCGCTACTGACATGCTTCTACTCCTGCAATTTCATCGATGGAATTGAATTACTAAGAACAAGGCTCCTTGCTTTTAACTTAAATTTACGGGTTAGATTTAAGTTATATTGATTTGACCAAAATGCCCTCATTTAAAGAACAAAAAGTGTTTTTTATAGGGTTATAGAATATTTCCTTTTGAAACTACATCGTTTGTATCTTAGTAAACTACACATTTTTTGTCCTTATATTTTCAAAATTAGAATATGATTATTATGGTTTATAAAAATATTTGGATTTGATCCCTCATTCTACCCCTGTTTTGTTAAAAAAAATTATTTATGTCCTTATGGTTTCAAAATTACAATTTTCATCCCTATAGTTTATAATTCATTATCTTTTTTTGTTCTTATGATTTAAAACTTATACTTTTTTAGTCCTTATGGTTTACAACTTATTTCTATTTTAGTCCTGCATAGTTACAAGTAGTGTTTTAGCCTTAGGGACGAAAATATAAATTTATTGCAAACCATAAGGACGAAAAAATAAAAATTTTGAAACCACAGGGACAAAATCTACAAATTTTAACAAATCACAGGGACAAAAAATATAATTTACTCTAATTTAAATAAAGAAAATTGTAGATATTTTGTATTTGTCTCTATCCTCTCTCATACAATGTAAAGATACAGTCAATAATATAGATCTTATTGTTTTAGCGGGTTCACAATATGATTTCAATATATTCATTATTTGAAACTTTATTGTTCGAATGTGTTTACATTGTGATTTCGGTTATTGTTTTAGTTTGTTCACGTTATGCACATAACTTGATAGTTAAATCAACGAAATGGATGGGACAACGTTGAAAGACGTTGTGACATTGTCGTGGCTCCTAAGGATTAAGTTTTGACCTCGCTACTATGTCATATCTCTTGGCCAGACTTAGAAGTCATCATGATTCTTCGTGTAGGTTTTATATGTCCACGTCACATCACATCACATGTCAAATGGTGATACTACTAAAGTTGTGTTAACCTATAAAGTAGCACACAAATAATACGTATGATTTAATGTGATCACTAGCTAGATGATCGTAAACTCGAATAACATCGTATGTTTATGTATATTAATATCGTATGTTTACAATATTATTTATTTATTATTCTAATAAAATAATACAAGTATGTAACTATGTCAATTACAATGGTTTAAATAGATTTATGCAATTTTATTAAGCTAATAAAATTAAATAAATGTTTAAAATTTTGGGGCTAATGGTTTTATTTTGAATGGGAATGAGTTTAAAAGATTAAATTAAAAGAAAAGTCTTTCCCATGTTGGGATATCTAGGGCAAGAATTCTCACTATCAACCCCCATATATATATACATATACATATATATATATATATACATATACATATATATATATATACATATACAAATATATATATATACATATATATATATATATATATATATATATACTAGAAGTGTACTCGTGCTATGCAGCGAGATACATCGTGATTTTAATATTTCATTTTATTCTTTATCTCAGTCGATGTTATAATATGGTTTAATGTGATTTTGAGAAAACGATGATGTTTTTATTTTTGAAGAAAATATATGTTTGAAGATATAATAAAAATTTGACAAAAATATATCGATATTAGTATCAAATTAACTATTTGAAATTCCTCATTTTTTTGTGTAATTTTTTAATTCAATTTTTTTATAATTTAATTTATGTACAATAACAAAGTAATTATATTTGGTTTAATAATATAATTTTTTATA